CATCATTATGTCATGTAAAACAGCTTCATTGCCCTAAAACTCTCCTGTGCTCCATCTGTCTATTCGTGTCCCCACCTTCAAATGCCTGATAACCACTGATCTTTTCTTTAAAAAAAAAAAAAAAAAAAAAAAAAAAAATATATATATATATATATATATATATATATATATATATATATATATATTTTTTATTGATATTTTACAGAGAGGAAGGAAGAGGGATAGAGAGTTAGAAACATTGATGAGAGAGAAACATCGATCAGCCGCCTCCTGCACACTCCCTACTGGGGATGTGCCCACAACCAAGGTACATGCCCTTGATCGGAATCGAACCTGGGACCTTTCGGTCCGCAGGCCGACGCTCTATCCACTGAGCCAAACCGGTTTCGGCATCCACTGATCTTTTCACTGTTTTTATACTTTTGCCTTTTCTAGAATGTCATGTAGATGGAATCACACAGTATATAGCCTTTAAAAACTGACTTCTTTCACTTAGCAATATACATTCAAGTTTCCTCATGCCTTTTGTGACTGATAGCTCATTTCTTTTTGTTGCTGAATAATATCTCATTGTGTGGATGAACTCTGGTTTGCTACTCATTTGAGTAAATACCAAGGACTTAGATGGTTGGACCATATGGCAAAACTATCTTTAGCTTTTGTAAGACACTGGCTGTACCGTTTTGCATTCCCACCAGCAATGAATGAGAGTTCCTGTTTCTTCATATCCTCATCAGCATTTGTGCATATTTTCAGTGAATTGTACTACTTTCACAATGTAACTGTTTTTCTGTGGGTGTTTGTTTGGTTTTTTTGTGTTTTTTTTGTCAATCTTCTGACAAGCTGACAGTTTGTATGAACCTAACCAGTGAAAGCATCACCCAAGTTCACGTTGACTTAACAGTCATCCCGCTGTTATTTTTCTGTCTTCTGAAACCAGTCTGCTTTCCTAGCACTGAAAGTGTGTGCGTGCATGTGTGCACGCACACAGCTACACACACACATATGGACACATCGGACAAATCCACATCCTTATGTTTGGGATGAAGGAGAAATTTAACTCTATCAATTTGTTTACATCTGCAGATTGTAGATTGTGCCCACATTGGCCCTCTGTCCTTCAGAAAATGGTCTTTGAAAACTCTCTCTAAGGGATTCTTGGCACATGAAAAAAAGAGAAGCTAAAGGTCTGAAGAATAAAACGTACTCTATGACCAGGTAAGTCTGCTGGCTCGATTTTCTAACAGTGTTAGATAATCGGAAGAGTCTCCTGTTACATAAATAATCTGTAGGTTGAGAATGAATTCTGAATTTATACTTTACTCATCTGTAGGGCCCTCCGAAAGAGGAGTCCAATACCAGGGGTCGGTCTTCCTTCATTTCAAGGTTTTCAGAATAGAAAAGGAAGCTGGGATGTGGCTTGATCTGAGACAGTGTTGAGGGATAAAGCCAATTATTTAGGAGATAAAAATATGATTTTACCTTTTTTTTAAAGTTTTCCCAAGCCAATACAAAGTATCTATGGAAAACAATACATAAAAATTTCACATTGAGGCAGCCTAGCGAGAAGCTAGGAAAATTCTTGGGCAAGTGGAATGGGAAAACTGAGACAGATGGCTGAACAAACTGGTCAAGTAATTTCCAGCAGATAATAAATCTAAGGTCTTATCTTCCCTAACCAAGGACACTTAGGAGCAAATGGTTTACACATTCCAGATTGTGCTGGGACACACCTGCCCTGGTCCCTCTCCGGTGACATTGTTGTTTTTTTATCCTCATCAGAGGATATGTTTATTAATCTTTTTTCTTTTTCTTGTTAGAGCAGTGGTTCTCAACCTTTTTAATGCCATGGCCCTTTAATACAGTTCCTCATGTTGTGGGGGACCCCCCACCAACCATAAAATTACTGTTATGAATCATAATGTAAATACTTGTGTTTTCCGATGGTCTTAGGCTCCTCAGCAGCAGTTCTTAACCTGAGAACCGCTAGCAGAGTTGCCTAAGACCAATGGAAAACCAGATATTTACATTATGATTCATTAAGAGTAGCAAAATTACAGCTATGAAGCAGCAACGAAAATAATTTTATGGTTGGGGGTCACCACAACATGAGGAACTGTATTAAGGGGTCGAGGCATTAGGGAAGGTTGAGAACCACTGGTTTAGAGAGAGAGGAAGGAAGAGAGAGCGAGAGAGAGACATTGCTGTGAGAGAGAAACATTGCTCTGTTGCTTCCCGTACACTCGCCAAGCGGGGATTGAACTGGCAACCTAGGAATATGCCTTGACTGGGAACCAAACCTACAGTTGTTTAGGTAGATGGACGACACTCCAACCAACTGAGCTGCCTGGCTTGGGCAGCATTCAGTGACATTTTTTTTTTTAAAATATATATTGATTTTTTACAGAGAGGAAGGAAGAGGGATAGAGAGCTAGAAACATTGATGAGAGAGAAACATCAACCAGATGCCTCCTGCACACCCCCCACATGTGCCCACAACCAATGTACATGCCCCTGACCGGAATCGAACCTGGGACCTTTCAGTCCGAAGACCAACTCTCTATCCACTGAGCCAAACTGGTTTCGGCTCAGAGACATTCTTAAGATGGAACTGAACCAGTGAATGGTCCTGACCCCTCTATACGCTCATCTTGATGATGCAGCACATTGAAGGACACACCTGGAAAGCTGTGCGCATTCCACTGAGATCCTCCCGAGACCTCCCCTAAAATTCCTGCCTTTAGAAAACAGATTAAAAACCCCCAAGATTTAAGTGCTTCTTGAGCACCCACAACCCTTTTCTCAGGCCTGTACTTTTGCTTTCCTAAATAGTATATGCTTGTATTGATTTCAGAGAGGAAGGGAGAGGGAAAGAGATAGAAACATCAATGATGAGAGAAAATCATTGACCGGCTGCCTCCTACATGCTTCCCTGAGCCCACCACCTGGGCATGTGCCCCTACCATGACCTCCTAGTTCAGTGGTCGATGCTCCATCACTGAGCCATGCCAGGTAGGCCTCCACTGTCTTGCCTTTGCTTGGAGAACTGTCCATGGACACCGAACACTGGAAAGAATGGTACATGCATTCCTCCCTGTGCTCGCTGGAGTGGGGCTGGCTCACCAGGCTCTCCTAGTCTCAGGGGCTTCCTTCATCCTCCTCAATCCCTGGAGTCTGAGACCTGCCCTGGCTGCATGACATTCAACAGGGGAACCGTCAAGGGACACCACTTGCTGGATGCTACAGTTAACATCTAACTGGCTGTCAGTCATAAAGGGGGAGAATCCCCTTTCATCCTCTTAAGAGCTGTTTGGTTGGCTCACAATAGTTCCCTCTTTCTTCCTCCTCTGTCCTGAAACTATTTTTCCATATGAGATCTTAACCCTAGCAACATTACCTAAAGGAATTATTAAAACTCAATTGATGAAACTTGTGGATTGTTCTCCAAAATGTCCCTGCTGGAATGAGGGTATATTGAAGGAAAAAAAAAAAAAAAAAAAAAAAAAAGCGACAGGGTGCAGCCCACTGAAAGATGGCTTCTAATTATTACAAGGACTACAGCAAGTGACATTTTTGAAAGTGGTGCAAAAAATACCTTATTCTTCCAAAAACTCCACACGAAAGCACGGGGGGAAAAAACTGGCAAAAGTAGCCAGAAACTGTATTTTCAAAACACTGGGAATTAAACAAAGGCTGACAGCATCCGGACAGCACTGGTTTAAGAGAAATGGCTGCATTTCGGTGTGAACAGTGAGCTGTGTGGTGTTTTAGTTGCCCTATCCCATTCTGTCCTTGGACACCAACGATCTGCAATCGTTTTGAGCTTTAGCAATCATGATGAGGTTTAGCAATCTGACTGTCCCAGGAGGGACAGCACAGGACAGGAGCACCTTCAAAGTCTCACCTCAGAGAACTGTCACTAGTCCTTTGTCTGGGGTTTCCTTGCGATAGATACCCTCATTGCAAATTTGTCTTTCTTAGGTCCGATTCAAAGCTTGACGAGTGTAAAAAGCCTTTCCCCAGGGGCATTTATAGAAAATGAGTGGAGGCAATTGTTGAACTTCTTCAGAAAGTTAACACAGAGTTACCACGTGGCCCGGCATATATAAGCCAGGGAATTGATGGCATAGGATCACACAAAAATGTGTACACAGGTTTCCATAGCAGCATTATGCACAATATCCAAAAAGTAAAAACAACTCAACTATCCATCAACGTATTTGTTTATCCAGGTGAATGAATAAACAAATATGCTATGTCCGTACAATACACTACTATTATTAATCTGTGGGGGGAATAAAAAGGGGGGGGGGGGAAGCACTTATTCATTCTACAACAGGGATGGGCACTGAGAAAATTAGGCTAAATGAAACTGGACAGAAAGTGCCACATTTTATATGATTCCCTTTATATAAAATGTCCAGAATAAAAATGTACATAGAGACAGAAGGTAAATCAAGAGCTGGGGAGGAGATGGGAAATGGGTGATAATGGTACATGGTTTTATTAGGGGGTGTGTGTGTGTGTGAAAATATTCTGGAATTTGTCACGTGGTGATGGTTGCACAACCTCAGGAGTAGACTAAACCCCAATGATTTGTACACTTTAAGAGAATGAACTGTATATTAATTATATTTCAATAAAAAAAAAGTAGTACAGCTTCTAAAAGTCATGTTATCCATTTAAATTCCATGAACAATTTCTGGGGTGGCTTTGGGCTATTGAATTGAGAAAGTAAATCTTGGCAATTACATAAAAGGAGGAACACAACTACAAGGGCCACACACACACACACACACACACACACACAACCACACACACAGAGAAAAAAAAGCACACCATCTAAAGCAAGCTCTTTACCTTCCAGATATTCAAAAGTGTGGCTTACAGTTATTTCCCTGGCAAACTCTTTTCTTTAACAATATCTCCAATCTGCACACCTGCCACAAGGTAGGAAAGAGAATAACTCTCCAGACTCAAGTCAGCAAGGGTAACCCTACCTTTGTTATTGTTCTGTTGTTCCATCAATAATTTACTTATTTCCGAAAACCAGCAATCTCTGATTTCTTTGGAAGCTGCCTGCAATCACAGATAAGAAAACACTGCATCAGATCACCTGGAGGAGGAACTGCACTGCGCTTTCCTCGTCTGGGGGACCGAGTTAGAACAATGATGACACTTGTCAAGCCACGGGCACCCCCTCTGGGGAAGACCCGAGCTTCACCTGCAGGATGTATTTCTCAAGTCCATTTCGGCTGACAAGTTCAAACTTTCTGTTGCTCCCCCTTTCAAGTTGGTGAATTGAAAGTGTCGTCCACTGTCATAAAGAAAGAAGAAAAAATGTCATTTTCTGATTTCAAACTTTTCACTGTTCGCTACCCTAATCCTTTCTACCCCTGATGTCTCTCTTCTTCCATCTTCCTTCCAAGTGTTTTTTGCTGTCTTCTCTTAATGGCTCCAAGGAGCGGAAAACACAATCTGGTACAGAGTCAACTGCCTCATCTGTCTCAGAGGATACCAGATTGTATCTTTCTATCTGTAGAGTCGTAGCAGCAACCTTTAAGCAAAGATCATCTCTTCCGTAACACAGGCGCTCATCACCAAGTCCCTCATCCTGTGCCCGGAGGAAATAGGTCCCTTCCCTCTACTTAGCACAAAATCCCTCTACTCCAGCTCTGCCCTGTCTACTGACTGATTCCCAGCCCTGACTCTGGGGGCAGACGTGGGCGTGGATTCTGGCTCTGTTGTGTGGCATTTGGCAAGAGAGCCTCACCTCTCTATGCTACTGTTTCCTGTCTGTGAAATCAGATCTCTACCGTGTTTCCCCGAAAATAAGACATCCCCCGAAAATAAGACTTACTTACAGGTTTCCTTCTGAGTGAAATATAAGGCACACATCCCTACCCCCCGAAAATAAGCCCCCCCACCCCTAAGCTAAATATGAGAGATTTGGTCCACTGATTCTGAAAGAAATGGAGTCACAAGAAATTCACCAGGAAATTCAGGAATTGGATTGTTATGATGATGTTCCAGAAGATGATGACATGATTGTCATTGAATAAATGAGTCAATTCTTGATACTGTAGGATTCACAGTTTGTCTGGTTTATGTTGACAACTACCGTACTACCGTACCGTATACAGGTAAGAAATTTCCTTTATTTTCATTGAACAATAAATGTGTACCGTATTCTTCTTCATGGAAAAATAAGACATCCCCTGAAAATAAGACCTAGCGCATCTTTGGGAGCAAAAATTAATATAAGACACTGTCTTATTTTCCGGGAAACAGGGTACATTTCTCTCTATAGGGGGTGTGTTGGGGGGGCGACAGGAGCCCTTTACCTTCACAGACTTCTTAAAGCTGTAACGAGGAGCCAGGCCCTGGCCACTGGGCTCCATCCGTATCTTGCAGAACACGATCCCCCTCTCAAACAGATAGAGCTGCCGCTGGCTGGGCTTAAACCGAATGAACCCCTTCATCTTGGAGCGCTCCTTGTGCACTGTCCAGACGCTGAACGTGCCGTGCCTCAGCAGCCTGCCCAGCTCTCGGATCTCCTCCTGCAAGGGTCCCAGACACACACAAGGCAAAGCTGCTCAATGACTCGCCACGGATAGAACTCCGAGGGGTCTGCTTTCGAAGGAGAAATCGTGCTTATTCGAGGCCCACGACCTTAGAAATGCCACGCAGGCCAATCTGCCTCTAAATCAAAACTGCAAATGGGGGGTTGAAGACAAATATGGGATACCTTAATCAATAAAGAAATTAAAAAATAAAACACAAACTGCAACCTTGTAAGCTTCACTGCATGCTGACACCACTCCGTTACATCAGGAAATTGCTCAGCCACACACGGGGATACACATACAACACGCTGGATATCCTGGAACTACAGATACGGGACTCTGAGGTGTTGCCTTGTAATTAATTTTAGCCAGCAGAATCCCACGTCCTCATCTTTGTTTCGGAGATATGACACTACTTAACGAGGGCAAGCGATTAACATGGGAATTATGCTCAGAAGAGACAGGATTTTTTGCTGCATCATGGATCTCGGATAATCCGCGTGCTCCATCTGCTAGCTAACGTCTGCCTCATGTCTGTGAAAACCTGGGATCATGAGATTTGTTCTGAAAGGAGAAAGCTCCAAGGGCCATTTGGATGTGTATAACATCATTTGCGGGCCGTACAAAATTATCAACTTAAAAATTAGCCTGCTATCTTTGGTCAGACATTTCATTAACTCACCCCTAATGCCTTGGCAGGGCCAGAGCAAAAGATTTCCCAGGCCTTATATGGCCCGTGGGCTGGACTTTCCCCACCCCTGCAGACAGGAAATAACTGAGGAAATTAGGGCAAAAAAAATATTTTTTTTTTTAAAGATGAAAAGGTTGTACATAAAACCCACGCAATGAAGCCATGGACGCTTGCTGCAGACTCAGCTCTGACCTCCCAGCAGACTGCACAGAGGGAAGCACAGCGAGTTATATGAATCATTATGTCCCACGACATACCCAAACCAGTTGTGCAGGAAACACACGGATTCCTGCCAATGGGACAGGAGAGAAATGTCTCCACCAGTCCTCCGACAGGGTCACTGAGCCAGATACTGAGCACACCCTCCAACACATCCCAGAATAGATGGATGAGTGGGTTTTAAGTAAAGCAGTTTCTAAGGACACATCTGGCACAGATGTAAAAGCAATTCTAAAAGAGGCCAGAACCATCGGGGTGTGAACAAGCACAGGTGTACTCTCTCTAACGACCTGTAGAGGGCAGGGCCATCTTAGTAAGGCGTCTGCCAACGCCATGGCCAAAGAAGCAGCCTTGGACAGCGATGTCTCTGTCCTTATTCACCTCTGCACTTCCCTCCTCACCCCTCCTGCAGCCACAGCCATTTGCATGTTGGGAGGCAACTGATCAAAGGATGTGAGGCCAGTGAGGTGCCAGCCCCTGACCTGATCCTTGTCTCGGCTGAGGAGACCTGAGGAGGAGGCCGTGAGCAGCAGGGGTTGCAGCTGTGAGATGCTCTATCAGAGGGCGGGTGGTGAAATGAACGATAAGGAAGATGAGTCACCGGAAACTATGAGGAAGAGGAAAAGACACGGGCAGACCCAGTCACTGCTTGGTGAGCGGAGAGGCAGACCACATAGGTGAGATCCCCAACTCCCTTCCAGGACAAGGCCCCAGGGCTGATGGGGAGCCTGGAGTTGCCCGGTTCCCACCTCTGGGAGCTCGGCGCTGCCACCGTCCTGACTCTACCTGAGGTTCTTCAGTCGGCTTTTCCAGTAAGTCCATCATCACTGGGAGCGACAGGGGCCGATGGCTGGGTGTGAGTCTAGCTGAAACAGCTGCGTAGCCTCCAGGCTGTCTTGCATAAACTTTGTCAGAACCATGCCCCTGATAGGATTAAACAGTCCGGGTGGGTGTCTATGTGGAGGCCGCCGCCACGGGGAAGCAGGCAAGGAGATTCCTCAGAGCCGGACCAAGGATGACCTGGACCATCTTTTCAACCACGTATATCCTTTCTTTCCAATCAGACTGTAATTGGTCCCAAAGCCAGAGACCACACACACAACCTCTTACAGATATTTGTCCCTTAGAAAGTATGTATTCATGTGTTGGCATTTAGTGAGTGCAGGGAGGGGGGGTGAAGGGGTGGAGGGGTGGAGGCGGGGGCGGGGCATAAAGCTGAGTGCTCAGCACTACGACGAGGGAGTTAATGCAGTGAATAGCATCTCCTCCAAAACTCATGTCCACCTGGGACCTCAGAACGTGACAGGATTGAAAACAGAATCTCAGGTGCAATTAGTTATTATAAAATTTGGTCATACTGGATGAGGGCGGGCCCTACCCTAAAGGCTGGTGTCCTTATGGGAAGAAGAAGTAGACACGCAGAGCCACACACATACAGAAGACAGCCGTGAAGACAGGGACAGGAACTGGCGTGATGTAACTGAAAGCCCAGGAATGCCACACATTGCCAGGAACGGGAGCAAGGAGGCAGAGCCCTCAGAGAGAACCTTGATTTTGAATTTCTAACTTCTGGCACCGTGGGAAAATAAGTGTCTGTGGTTTTAAGCCAACCCCGTATGTGGTGCGTTGTCATGGCAGCTCCAGGAAATGGATGTACCCCAAACCAGTTTTTTCCACCAGTGACGTAATGGGGTGGCCCTCCCTTTGGGGTGTTGAAGAATGGATGTGAACTCAGAGACAGACTAGGGGGGTACACCCCACACAGATGAGCAAGTGAAAAGTCCTCCTCCGTATGGGAAATGATGGCAAAAATAAACTAGCAAACGCTACCATTTTCATGTGTGGGCATTTTGTGGGCGAGAGCTCTGACATAAGGATTTCACGTGTGACCACATGGGCCAAAGGGAGAATCTGGCTGAGAGAGAATCTTGGGAAGCTAGCCTCCAGGAAGATGGGGGTGCCTCGGCGTTCACTCTCGGCTGTGACAGAGCTCCATGCTTCTTGCACAAAGAAGCAGAAAACATCTGGATAAGTGAATCCGCACAAAAGCCTGGTCCAGAAATGAGAATCAGAAGCTGTGGGACGGAGAAGCTGAGGTTACAATCGCCAGAAGCAAAGGGGTTCCTTCCTTCCCAGTCTGATCAAGGACCCAAATACGTCAGCCCCGGGGCCCTGAATTCAGCACCTACCAGGCTCCAGGCAAGGTGCTAGGCGTCTTAAATATGATTTAATCTTTATTTACTCTACTGAGAGGTGTCGTGAGGGTGGGAAGATGGGCAAGGCAATCCCACTTCATGAGTCATGAAGATTGTTTGCTCAGCCTTATTTCTGTAGCCAACAAATGGTAAGGAAAGTGAAAAGTAACATAGAAACAAAATACCTGGGCCTAGCCCACAATAAACTTGCAATAAAAAACACTTCCTTTAACAAATAATAAACTTTGTTCCAGAAAATTAAAAGGTTTTATTCAACCTTTACTCTTCAACTTTGAAACTTGTTCCTGGCAAGTCAGGATTTAAAAGGACTCTAAATGTTTTTCTATTTTATACATTGGATTGAAGAGGGAAAATTTTTTTTTTTTGACAAAAAAAGGGAAGTAAATTAAGTCTCAGTGTTCCATAAAACAACCTTTCTTTAAAAAATAATTTTTTAAAAGTTTTTGTGACTCAATTAAGCCAAGAATTGAGTATACACAAAGAGAAAATGTAAATATCAAAAGGGATTTTTTTCCCCTAGTTGCTTTAATTATGAAGTCACCCACTGAAGTTCAATTTTTTTCCTTTACAAAACCAGGTTAATATTGAATATCAAGTAGAGAAACTAGGAGGTGAAGCTGGATTTATTCACCCACACAACACACGATGGCAAACATTTTGTGATAAGGTTCCACAAAAAGGAGGCCAAGACTCAGTTTCATTGGATCTGAGTTAGTAGCGGGTGAGTTGTTAGTACACTCTAAACAGAACCAGATGAAGAGTATGCGGAGAGGGTGGCACCCTGGCTAGGGAGTGAAGAGATCCAAGACACATTGCAAGCTGAGGACCACGTGATCTTGGGGGAGTTAACTCTTCTCTCCGGGGATCTGCTCCTGAAGCAGAAAGTTGAAAATTCCCATGCCTGCTCTATCATTCAATAGAATGATACAAACAGTCATGATAAATTAGCTAATGTATGAGGTGTGAAGCAAGTTACCCCTGGCAAACAAAGAAACCACAGAGTGTATGTCAAAGGTGTCATTCTGGGGACACATGGGGGCAAAAAAGATGTTTCACACTTGCTATAAAATCTCCAAAATTCTATAAACTGGTTCATCTGATTTGTACACAAGCCGTTTGGAGGAAAATTAAAGTAGGTTGCTATCTACTCACGTTTCATTCATTTTTTTTCCCCCTCATAACTCCCTCCTCTCGTGTTACTTACCTTCAGAGGAATAGCTGGGAGTTTCCGGCCTGTGTTACAGTTGATTCAGGCAAATGGCTATTTCACAGGGGCAGCTGACACAGGGTCAAAGACAAAAAGAAAATAACAGAAAGATGTCCCCAAATGACTAAACAAATCGCTTCCTTGACTTCAGCCGAAGAAGGGAAAAATAATACCAAGGAAAGGCTCTGTTCTCACCCCGGGTGGTGCGTGAGTAGCCTCCTAAATCATACATCGGCGGTAAACAGAGTGCGCTGGAGTGCCAGGGACAGAAACAGCATCCCTGCTTGGATCATAGCAAACCTGGGGGCTGTTTCTGAAATGCTGGCCAGAGAAACAGCAGGAAGGAAAGAAAAAGATCACAATTTTAAAATATATATATATATATATATATATATATATATATATATATATATATATATATATATATAATTGACTTTTTATAGAGAGGAAGGGAGAGTGATAGAGAGCTAGAAACATCGATCAGCTGCCTCCTGCACCCCCCCCCCACTGGGGATGTGTCCACAACCCAGGTGTATGCCCTTGACCAGAATCGAACCTTGGACCTTTCGGTCCTCAGGCTAATGCTCTATCCACTGAGCCAAACCGGTTTCGGCAAAAGATCACGATTTTTGCCCCTACTTAATTTGCATGGTTTAATTTATGACAAGGGAAGATAAGAAAGGTCATTTCATCTGCCCAGACCTCAATAAAAAACAGGTAAATTGAACAGGGGGGGGGGGGGGGAAGAAGGAAGGGGAGGAAAGTATATGAAATGCAGAATGCTTGGTCCCTGTACAGTAACCAAAAAGATCCTGGCCCTGAGAGTAGGCCAGGATACATGCTGCATGGTTTCAGATGGAATCAAAGTTGCTCCTCAGCTCACTGTGAGATGCGGAGATTATCATGGACTGCCTGGGTGGGTCCGATGTAATCACAGGAGTCTTTAGAACGTCGAAGAGAAGCAGAAGAAGGGGTCAGAGTGATGCCATCAACGTGAGAACTCAATGAATGGGATGTTTCTGCCTGGAAGCGAGGCAGTGGCCGTGAGCCAAGACTCGTGGGTGATTTTTGTTGTTGCTGTTGTTTAAGATGGAAAAGACAAGGAACAGATTCTCCCCTAGAGTCTCCTAAAAGGAAGGCAGACACTTTGATCTGAGCCCTCCGTGAGACTGTGGTCGTTCTGCCCCGTGGATCATTAAGGTGAGAAATTGGTGCTGCTCTGAGCCACCAGACCCGCGGTGGTTTGTTACGACAATGACAGAAAACTAACATCCCTGATCACTCTACTATTCCTGGAGATTACTACTAATAATCCAGAGCACTTCACAGTGACTATGAATGCTCACTATGTCCCAGATGAATATTACTGATGTTCCAGTCCCGGGTGAGCACACAGTGCAGAGGATGGTTTGCTGGATGCCCAGGATGTGTCGGCTCAGAAAAACACACAAATGCCAGAGCTGAGATGGCCCCACCTCCTAGCATCACCTCTCTTGGTATTTTCCTCCAACCACTTGGATGAAGGCAAGAATAATACACGCTTGTTGGGCCTCTTCTGAGATCTGGGATATAAAATGGGGTGAGACTTTCACTTAGCAACCCATTTTCCAAGTAATTTTCATGGAGGAAATCTGACCAAGAAGGAGAATCTTTTAAATTTTAACAGTGCCAGGAGTCGAAATAAATTACCCTTTCAGCAATTTCCCCCTGCCCAGACGTATTCTGGCCCCCGAGTTCCCAGAGCACACAGGTCAGGCTCCACATTGTGGACCACGAGGAACACGAGATTCCTGGAAACCCCGAGGGGCTGGGGGGACCCGGGGAGCACAGGTGTGTTGACGGAGGTAGGCGACTCTCCCGGAGTCAAATTCCTTGACCATAAATCGTTTCTCCTACTTGACCCCAGCATCTCCAACCTTGTTCACACCGTGCCTGCCTCTCAGGGGGAACCCTCCAACCAGGATTATGGGACATGACATACCGGGCATCCAGTGACTGCCGCCAGGTCCACGGCCAGCTCACAGGACCTGATCAGCTCCTCTATCACGGCCAAAGCCTGCTGCCGGTCAGCCAAGAACGCGGGAGCCTGGGTCCTCTGTGGCCCATCCTGTGAACCAAATGCCTTGTCGGAAATCAAAAGGTAAACCACCTCCCAAGTGAAGAAGGAACACAGGACAGAGAGAAGGAGCCACGGACCCAGCCAGCACGACATATCTGAGACGGCGGGGACACCGCTCTGCTTTCCAGCTCACAAAGAACGGCGGCTAACGGTATTTGCTGGTTTACCATCAACCACACTTCTGTGGATTGTACTAATGAAGAACGAAGTTCATAAAACCATGGGCATTATATTCCTGCTTTATAAGAAACATACTGGGATTTTTTATTTTTTATTTTTTTTTTAAGCAGGAAAAAACAACAACCCAAAACACAGCCCCTTTACATTGACTGCCCTCTCCTTTACACTTCTAGCCCTGTGACCTGTGGAAAAATACGATTCATATTCCTATATTGAACACGAAAGCCTTATTCCTATGGGCAAAGTGATACTTAAAACCTTCCCAGAGGAGGATACTTTTAAACTCCCAGAGAGACAAAGAATGGGCTGCCAGTGCAGGTTGACTAATGATTTACCTGTAAACGTGGTAAGGGTTGCATTTCCATAACTCTGCCCTTCCTCCTCTCACACGTTACTGTCTTTAACGTTACCAAGGAGGTCTGTACCTCCCAAACAGAAAGACTCAGCATTAAGCGGAAAAGCCTGAACTGCTAATTCAAGAAACCAATGTTTCCACTGGTAGCACTGTGGCGCTTAGGCCATACGAGGGATGGTTCTTAGAGCCTGAAAGGCTTTTGCTCAGGTTTTCAGTATTTTATTCCCCACGACTTACATAACATACGGATGTTATGTAGTAAATGCAGACAGAAAGCTTTTGGTTTCTCCCATTTTGTTAAAACACATCAATTTCTACAACTAAGGACAGATAGCTTTTTGCTGGCCCATAGCGCCCACCTCTTTTTGTCCTCTACTGCATGATGTGAGCGAAGGGTGTGTATCTACTTAGCCTCTGCAGAAGCAGCAGGAAGTAGCTCTGTGAGATCAGAAACATGAGTGGGGTGATGAATGGAGCAGAGCGTGCTGCCTCCACTGAATGGCCTGCCCAGAAGCCTTACTTTCTCCTTCGTAATAAATATGCTCTGGTCCTGGGAAAGACAGCAGGCTCACCGGACCTTACAATAACATCAGCAAAGGGTCGAACGTTCTTACACTAGGCAGCATCCTCTATTCAACATGTCATGTAAAACGCAACTTGAGAGACTCCACTGCTCCTATTCTTTCTCCTTCCTCGTTTTGCTTTGGTAACGTAGGACTCAGAAGAAGCCCTACAAACATCACCAAGCCCTTCTCCCTCGGGCCAGCTCCCCTAGCTCCAGGCTGTAAAATCATTACCTGCATCTCGAGCTTCTAATTTCAAGGGGTCCCCCACACACATTCTGGGCAGAGAAGGCATGCAAATAACTTTGAGACGCATGCCTCGGGTTTCTCTGGTTAAAACAGGAGTATTTAATAGGAATTTTAAAAGAAAGGCCACCGTTAAGTCACAAATTTCTTTCTAATCGGGTAGGTTTCCAATTCCTTCAAAGGAACCTTCGCTGTCTCTCTTAGCACGCGTGCACACACGCACACACACACACCACACACACACACACCACACACACCACACACACCACACACACACACACACACACACACTTGGAGAGAATGGGACACAATGTATACAAATTAGATAAACAGATTAAGAAATAGAAATCATTCATAGTCATACCGTGCAGGAAAACCACAGTAGATATTTAACCACACTTCCTTTCAGTCTTTTATGTTCGCATTTTACACATTCCTGTTCGTATTCCCGTTAAAACATTTTTTTGTGTGAAAGGGAAAAAAAAATGCAATACCGTTTATTCTGCAACAAATCTCCACTTGAAAATTGCCTTTAATTGTTTTGTTTCTTCCTGACTATGAGTTATGAAATACATACAATTTTACAAGACTTAAACAATGGAGACCTTAGCAAGAAAAACAAAATCACCATAAATCCTCCCACCTTCGGGCAAACACCAATAACAGGAACATAAAACAGTATTTAGCATCCAGTACCTTAGCCGAACCTCCTTCTAGGTCACCTGGCTCTATCTCCAAATCCTCAGGAGACTCGAAATCCAGCAGACCCTGCATTAACCCAAAAGCCTTAGTGAAAAATTCAAAAGTAGAGTGCCAACTAAATGTACTGTGCAAACAATCTCCAGACAAATGCTCAAGTAACTGAGAATGTATGCAAATTTGTCTGTCTGTCACGAGTAAGAGGGGAAGAATGAATTATCTATCTGGCACAGTGTTCTTTGCACAAATAAAATCTTACTAGCCACATTTTTATGTAGCCTGCTTTTTCTCACTCAACAGCATAGCATGAATGTTTATCTTCTCATGACATTATATACTTTTAAAAACATGGTTTTGGCCGAAACCAGTTTGGCTTAGTGGATAGAGTGTCTGCCTGCGGACTGAAAGGTCCCAGGTTCGATTCCGGTCAAGGGCATGTACCTTGGTTGCGGGCACATCCTCAGTGGGGGGTGTGCAGGAGGCAGCTGATCAATGACTCTCTCTCATCGATATTTCTAACTCTCTATCGCTCTCTCTTCCTCTCTGTAAAAAATCAATAAACTACCTTTAAAAAATAAAAACACGGTTTTGATTGTGTCAGCATTGTGTCCTATACATAAATCGTAATTAATTCATCTTCTCTGTTGTTAAATATTTTGGTTCTGTAATTTTTCCTAAAGATAACTTCCTAGAAGTGGGATTGTCATTGTTAAGAGTCTTGATGCATTATTTACAAGTTCCTTAGAAAAGAATTATGTGTCCACCAGCCACTTATAAAACTTGCTCACCAGCCATTTAATCAGAATGTTTGACCAATTGAATTAATAGGTCAATCTACCTCACTGCTTTTTAGTTTGAATTTCTCAGATATTAGTGAGGTAGAGCTTTAAAAAAAAAATGTTTGCTACTAAAAATGTTTTCTTCTGTAGCATGCCTATGTCCTTCATTCATTTTTATTATTAATTTCTTTTTTATTGAGGTATACCTGATACATAAAATTGTTAGATATGTACAGTGTTCATCCTGATGATTTGATACACGTATACATTGTGGAAGGATTCCCCCTATCTAGTTAATTAACACATCCATCTCACCTCACACAGTTATCATTTGTATGTGAGAGAGAGAACAGTTAAGTCTACTCCGTTAGCAAATTTCAGTTACAAATACAGTGTTTATCAAACTTCATGTTTTACATTAGATCCTTAAACCCTATTCATCTTATAGCTGAACGCTTGTAACATTTACCCACCTCTCCCGATTAATTATTTCTTTAAATAGTAGCCTATTAAAAATTTTTTAAAAAGAAAAATGAATTTTGCTCTTATGATATAAGTTGGTTTATACAAGAAATCAGCATGAGTACCTATTCTAGAAAAGCTTTGTAATAAGCAAAACTTATAGTACACAAACATTGCACCGTTTTGCAAACCATATCTTAATTTAGCAAAATCCAAGGAATAAAAATTATCTACAGTAAACTCTTGATAGTTTCCAGTTCTGGCTAATGTTTCTCAATGGTTAGAGCATCATCCCACACACTGAAGGGTTGTGGGTTTAATTCCCTGTTAGGTCACATACACAGGTTTTGGGTTGGATCCTGGTCAGGGTGAATATGGGGAGCAACCGATCGGTGTTTCTCTCTCTCTCCCTCTCTCCCTTCCTCTTTGGAATCAATGAAAATAAAAATGTCCTCAGGTGAGGATTAAAGAAAAAACTTTGGTAGTTTCCATCCATCACTTAGCCTGTTTGATAGAAATCATGCATTCAATGAAAGTGAGTTCCTGTTGCTGATAGTAATGTATACTGATAATAACATTAATAATGTTTAATTTACTTGCCTTGGCTCATTAGATATTATATACTAAAAAAAAAACCTCTTGGTAATGAATATTAATTTTTATAACATCTCAGATAAGATAGTAAGCATTTCATAGATATCCTTTTTTATTGTTTCATTATTAATTTCTATGAGCTCATTATTAAGCATGCTGACCATTGGTCATATCTCTTGCTAATAAATATTTCCCCCAATTTTTCATGTGTCTGTCCTTCATGGTATAATCCGCCATTGCTTCCCCTTTCTTTTAATATTAGAACAGCTCTCCCACACCAGGATCCTTTCAAAACCACGAGGCAGTCAGCCCAGCATCCAAGCTCTTTCAAAGGAGCTGCAGAATGAGCTCAGTTCCTCGGGACGGAGACAACCACAGAGGCCTTCCTTTCTCCGCAGGCCTGCCAGCGGTTTGAACGTGTGTTTCCTGGCACCCAGCAGGCTCCTCCCCGGGAAAAACTGGCCGGCCCTGACTCGCCTCCACCTCCTGTGGTTATGCACAGACCCCCAAGGAAGATTTTATACTGATCCCGTCTCTTGTTTCCTCAATAAAGCTAACAAAACCTCCTAAGTGTTTGTAACACGTATTCCCTTCTTTAATGGGTCCAAAAAGCACACCAGGCAAGTATCATGACTACCTTCCTTTCACAGGGGCGGGGCCTGAGACTGAGAGCAGTTAGGAACCTGCAGGAGTTCACTCAGCTGTCAGAGCCTGGATCCACACCCAGGATGTCTGACTCCCAACTCTGTGCCCCGCAGCCCTCTGCAAGTGGAACTTAGCTACTGTGTCCGCATCGCTTCAGAGGGAACACGGGGGCCCTCAGTCCGGATGCAGCCAGGCCTGGGAGTGAAGCTCCCCTCTTCCCCAGCCCCTCTTAGGCGCCCCCTTCCTCCCTGGGCCCAGCGGTAGGACTTCATGTCCCGAGTAAGGATGGGGCAGTCAGAGGCATGGAGGCCCTAAGAGGATGCTGTATCATCACTAGCTCACAGATAATACTCCTGTGCGGAGGCAGTGAGCCATCATCCTCATTCCCACACGGGTGTGACATCTCCAGGTAGCAAACAGGTACCTGTCACATTGCTTTTCGGGGCTCAGTGCTGGGCGAGCTCTCTGCACGCCCCACGCACTGCTTTCTGCAGCGAGGAGGAGGGTCTGGCATTCTCATTCACTGTGAGAAAACCTAGGCCTGAGAGGTCCAGGAATCCCAGCTGATAGCAACAAAGCCAGTGCAGACTAGGCTGGGGGTATCGAGGCAAAGATGAAAGAGCTAACTTTTCCCGAAAGTGGAATATTGGGCACGAGTTTAACCTCCGTGAGCCTCAGTTTCTTCATACTCCGGAGCCTGCCTGACACATCCGATTGCGGGATGAAGTAAAAAATCTGTGTGGGAAGGCTCCCAGGCCCCTTTAAACTCTACGATTCTTTGGTCTCACCCCACGTGGAGGAGGGCCTCGTTAGACTTGGAGGACAGAAAAAGCTCCAAGGTCAGAAATTTTACCGCAGAAGACTAAGTCTCAACTCTCCACCTGGTCACCTTAGTGCATCCATCTGTTTTCCCAACACGGAAAAGCACGGTCCCATGGGCTTTACCTTCAACAGCTTCTGGTATTTTAGAAGTCTCTGGCTGGGGCCTCTCAGATACGTGAAAAGAGGGAGATTGTGACCCAATTGGCGCTGGCATACCTGTAAAAACAAACAGAAACAACATCAAACAAAACAAACAACACACACACACCGAGGACAAAGGTGGCAGGCATTTAAATACAAGAAATGAGCAGCTCTTCATGGAGAGGGCCAGCCGTGTTCACTCGCTTCCCAATGCCGAGCAGAGAGTGAAGTGGAAAGGAAGGGGGGAGGGGACAACTTGGCTGGTATTTTTATAGGCAGCTAAGGAAGCAGGGCCATTTCCTTCTTTTAGAAGGCAAGCCTCTAGAGGACAGTGGGGGCGCTTCAGGTCCTTCTACCCAGGAGGCGGCCCGACTTTGAGGTTGGGCGTTGTGGTGGGGTCCATTGAGGTCACTTGAGTCTGTAGGACACATGATGGCATATGATATCATTCAAGAGAGTCCCGATGTCTAATCTCTTGGATTTAGTTCCGTTTTCAAAACCATCTTAGAAGGGGACTCTGGTTTCTGCACCAGGCTCCTCGCAGACCTGCTCACAGAGACCCAGGGCAGCATCCAAACTCCCAACGTACTACTTCAGCATGGAAGAGACGTTTAATAAACCAAGTCCCAGTGCCCAATTCCTCTGCCCAGTTTAAATATATATATTTATTATATATATATATATATATATATATATATATATGTAATATCAATTTATATATAATTGATATTTTTACAGAAAGAAAGGGAGAGGGATAGAGAGTTGGAAACATTGATGAGAGAGAAACATCGATCAGCTGCCTCTTGCACACTCCCCACGGGGGAAGTGCCCACAACCAAGGTACATGCCCTTGACCGGAATCGAACCAGTCCGCAGGCTGCCGCTCTATCCACTGAGCCAAACCGGTTAGGGCCATACTTTTGATAGGTTTAAAAATTTGGTGCATAATGAACAAAATGAATTGAGCAACAGAATAAGACCCGGAGCCTGGAGGCATGGCACAGATTGACGTACCTCGATGTGGGGTTGGGGAGAACCAGAAGAAAGAAACCAAAGGTCTTACCTACTTATATTCCTAGCCCATGGACGTGGGCAATTGTGTAGTGAAGACCTGGGGGTGGGGTGGATAGGGGCTGGGAGGCGGGGGGAGAAGGGGGAAAAATGGGAGACATCTATCGTACTATCAACCATAAAATATATGAATTTGTTTGATGCACATTGCTCAGAGAAAACAATTTGCGGGAGACCTTGTAATCTCAACGTTACCCCGAAGAAGGCGCAGTCTTGACATTCTTGCCAGATTGCCTGAGCTCGGGGCAGATTCTTGTGGTATTTAAAATATATCTGAAGGTCTTCTTTCTGAGTGGGGGAAAAAATTCAGACACGTTGATCAGGTAGTATTTTTCAGTAAGTAGATAAGATAATACAGTTTGTTTATTCATCCAACAAGCCCGGGTTTTTCAATGCGTGAGAAGCTGGGGATGCACAGTCCAGTGGCCCTGCTTTGGAGTGAGCGTGTGATGGAGGTGATAGGGGCAATAAACAACCATACGTACTAAATACAGGTGGGAACAGAGTTCTGTGGGAGCAATTACAGCAGATTCGTGAACAGGAGTCTGTCTTGATCTGGGTTGTTTCTCCTCTGCTTTTTATTCAAAATACCAATGTCTCCCCTAAATAGTACTTCCCCTCCCTTTCCCCCCCATCAAAAACAAACAGTAAAATGGAATACCCTCTCCTATTTACCATAATAATGACCCCAATTCTAGGGGGGGGGGGGGGAACAAACGAAAAAACAACATAGAGGAATACCCTGCAGGAAAATGTGACCATTCAGACAAAACCACTCAGATTTAAATCATGTGGGCAAGCCCCCAAGTGGCAAGCTCTGCCTCAGACATCACTTTCAACCTGCAGCACAAGATTGGAGAAGAAAAAGAAACTCAACCATCTCAGAGCTAGAGACCAGCAGTGATCCGGGTGCTTGCTCGACCTTGAGAGCATGAGGTGGACCTACATCTGCCAGTATCCCAGATGGGAACGACACCCTACGCTAGGGGTGTCGAACTCAATCAGAGAAGGGGCCAAAATCTAAAATCCAGCCTAAATCGCGGGCCGAATGGTTTACTGAACAGTCATAAACTGTCATTGTGATGGAAACTCAGCGGAGTGCAATGATGACAGCGCGGTGCGGGCCACATTGCAAGGCCTGGCGGGACGGATTTGGCCCGCGGGCCTTGTGTTTGACACATGTGCTTATGCCAATGAAGCCAGCTGCAGCTTTGCTCCATCGGGAGAGCCTGGCCCATGGGCGCTGTGCTTGCCACAGAGCCACACCGCTCTGGCAGAGAGGCCCACGTGGTTTCTTCCTTTCAGACCTTGCGTCCCTCTCTTCCTGCTAAAGGCCAGTTTGTGATGTCCTTCACATGTGTGTGAGCTCTCTTCCCCTCACTGTGTCAACGCTGTCTCTTCTACTCTAAACACACGGCTCTGGTGCATGAGTTCATTCTGTATCTCTTCCCCTCTCCCGATGGATGGTAAGTGGTCCTTTCACTAAAAGAGCTGTAGCAACTGTCTTTTGTACTCTCTGCAGAAAAAATTGTGTGCGCATGCGCACACCCGTTTAGTAAGAGAGGTGGCCCTTGAGAAATGTTCTTCAGACTGGTTAAGGCAGTGGTCGGCAAACTCATTAGTCAACAGAGCCAAATATCAACAGTCCAACAATTGAAATTTCTTTGGAGAGCCCAATTATTTAAACTTAAACTTCTCCTAATGCCACTTCTTCTAAATAGACTTGCCCAGGTTGTGGTATTTTGTGGAAGAGCCACCCTCAACAGGTCAAAGAGCCGCATGTGGCTCCCGAGCCGCAGTTTGCCGACCACGAGGGTTAAGGAACTAGAATAAGAATTCAAAGCTTAACAATAACATATTCATTATGCATTCACTCAGCTCATCAAGAACACTCCATTGTCTACAAATAGTCTGTCAGAGCACAAAGACCTTGGCTGTTAAGAATTTGAGGTTTTGCTGCTTTAACCCTCACCGCCAGAAGATTCTCAGGAGCTGAAGGAGACTTTGGAGATACAACTTCCCACCCAGTAAAGCATCCTTAACAGGCAGCCACCTTTCCCCAGCTCTCCCCGTGGCAGAAAGGCCTGGTTCCCTCCATGTGAGCTGAGCTGAAACCTGAGTTCCTGAAACCTTCACCCCGGTTATATGTCTGTACTTTGAGCAACAGCACAGGGTATTACAGACCACGTATCGAAATATAACTATCGACTTCAATTTGCTTTTCAGTCCAAAATTCCTTAGAGAAAAGATGCGCACTAGCTAGCAGCATAGGAAAGTGCTCGATTCCCCTCACCTCCTTGTAGAATAAATCAGGAGGCTAAAAAAATTACTACCACAAATTCACGTTCACACAGGGAGACACGACTGCTTATGAATTAATCTGTTAACCGGGGAGTTCCCTTTTTAATTACGCAACGTACAACGGGCGCATACTCTTTCAGTAGGACGTTCTTTCACATCCAGCGGACATAATTTTATATTATTATTTTTTTATTTATACTTAATCAAAATAAATGAAATGTATATATTTTTGTTTATTTATATAGAAAGCACAAAGTAAAATACAAAATTACAAATGTTGTGCACCAGGCCTCTAGTAATGATATAAGCATTTATAAAATATTTCTAAACTGTGAAATTAGATTTCACATGGGTGACTTGATGAGTGCAAAGTTGCAAAGTAAGAAAAAAACACTAATAATGCTGTAAAAATAATCCAAAAAGGAAATAATGAGATTGAATACAAAACAGTTTTTAGTGGGCTACCTGGGATTCCAGCACCTGAGGTTTGGAAAGTGCATGCAGGGCCATGGAGGGAGGGGCCTTCTAAGCTGCTTAGGAGCTCTGGGTGTTGAAAGCTCTGTTTTTTTCATGTGTAATACCTTGAAACCTGGGATTCTTGTTTGCTTGCTCTCAGTTTACACAAGTATTTCTCATACACTGAGCCAAACCAGTTTCTCTTAAACAAGTATTTCTCATCAGTCATAATGTGGGTTGCTTACAAATTTGAAAGTTCTTTGATCAGTTGTCTCAGACTCACAAAACGATAAAAACAAGGAAGAGTTGGAAAAGAATGGCTGAGAGAGAAGAAATGGGAAAGATTCAGGAAGTTGAGGGCAGCAGGGTCATCTGCAGTCCTCCTTCAGGGAGAGGAACATGTGGGTGCCAGCACCCAAAGAGCACAGCTGGCCCAAACAGCCTATTTCTTGCCCAAAGCAGGGGTGGAGAAGCCTGGTGGGAAGAGGGCTGTGTGGTGGGAAGGGGAGGTGGTCAGATGCATGTTGTTGCAGAACAGGAAATTCACAAATCGGATGTTATAGGTCAGAGGCGCCACCATAGAGTTAACATTTCCTAACCACCCTCTACGGTAGGGGTGTCGAACTCAATCAGAGAAGGGGCCAAAATCTAAAATCCAGCCTAAATCGCGGGCCGAATGGTTTACTGAACAGTCATAAACTGTCATTGTGATGGAAACGCAGCGGAGTGCAGTGATGACAGCGCGGTGTGGGCCACATTGCAAGGCCTGGCGGGACGGATTTGGCCTGCGGGCTTTGTGTTTGACACATGTGCTCTACGGCGTAGAGTCTACGCCATACAGTATCAAATGGAAGTCAATATATTTTCAGTTTAACATCAGTACCACCTCTCTGGAGAGAACTACCGTGTTTCCCCGAAAATAAGACATCCTCCAAAAATAAGACCTACTTACAGGTTTCCTTCTGAGTGAAATATAAAGCATCCCCCCCGAAAATAAGCCCCCCCCCCCCCCCCCCCCGGCTAAACATGAGAGATTTGGTCCACTGATTCTGAAAGAAATGCAGTCACAAGAAATTCACAAGGAAATTCAGGAATTGGATTGTTATGATGATGTTCCAGAAGATGATGACATGATTGTCATTGAATAAATGAGTCAATTCTTGATACTGTAGGATTCACAGTTTGTCTGGTTTGTGTTGACAACTACCGTACTACCGTACCGTATACAGGTAATAAATTTCCTTTATTTTCATTGAACAATAACTGTGTACCGTATTCTTCTTCATGGAAAAATAAGACATCCCCTGAAAATAAGACCTAGTGCATCTTTGGGAGCAAAAATTAATATAAGACACTGTGTTATTTTCAGGGAAACAGGGTAATACAACTAGTGAGGAATGTATGTGTGATTCTGGTCCTAAAGGAGTTAGGTTAGTCATGCAGAGTTATTCAGGATCAGCTGCTTTGGGTTGCCTGAGGGCCAGTCTTTCATTTCCCTGGGCTTTGCCAGAAGCTGGCTAGGAAGTGGCCCCCACCTAAGAGTGAGCTCAGTCAAACTGGACGTGGCTCACACCCCTGCAGTTGTGCAAGGAACTTCTGCTTCGCATCCCAAAGGCAGATGTGTTTTCAGACCCTTGGCGCTGCCTTTAACCCTTGCCACCTACACAGAAAACCAAGGGGTGACTTGAAACACAAGGTTATTCCGGTTGTTTAGGAGCACAGACTTACTCTCTCGAGAAAGCAACAAGCCAGAAGTTCAGGATTCTCAGTGCACTTTTCCAATTCCTTTAGGAAAGTCCTGGGGGGGGGGGGGGGGGGGCGGAAAAGTAGAATAATGCTTTTAAAATAACATTTACAGGCATTAAAAAAATTTTTTTAAGTAAAATCATATAAGGTTTTAAGAGGTGCCTAGAAAAACGTTGTTTTCTGAACTTTGTTGCTCTTGGTTCATCGTCAACACACTGACTTGGAAGAAAAAAAAAGTGCGTTCTGTGACATTGGTAGGATTCCCTCAAACAACCACATTAAATTCCCTGATGATTCTAAGCACGAGCCACTGCCAGCGGGATGGGATGCACGGATGCCTCCCGCCTCCCATCAGCGTTAATGAGTTAATGAGAATGGCTGCTGTGGCTGCTGCCGCCACTGCCGTCACCGTGAGCTTCCTGTGGTGAGGCACACGCTGAGGACGTCACAAACAATATCTCGTTTAATCTTCCACCAAACCTTGCACGATAGGGTTTCATAAACCCCGAGGTTAAGAGAGGCCACGCCACTTCCCAGGAAAAGTATCAGAAATGAGATTTCCGTTTTGACAACAGACCCAATCGACCTAAGATGTGGTTAGGAAGCCACCAAGGCTCTTTTCCCTTCTGGCAATGAGATGTGTGATTTTTGGAGTCCTTCTGGTGAGTCAAGTGAGGTTTTACTCATCTGTAAAATGCAAGGGTTGGAAAATAATTTCCAAAGTCCCTTTGTCCTCCGTTTCTCTAGAACTCGGCATGTAAAGTGCCCTGGGCTCACAGGACAACTTGTTGGACCAGTTAGCATTTTCTGACACCCTAGATCCCAGCTCTGCCAACACGGTGTCTGACACCCAGCAGGTGCTCAACGAATGCTGGGGCATACATAGGTACATTGGCAAAAGAGCACACCCATAAATACGACATGGATGCCTGACACCTCGTTCAGGCTTCACGAATGTCTTTTCCCTCTTCCCCCGGCATCTTGTGGCACTTGTCCCCTCCCTCACATCCCCTCCCAACCCCCCCATTCTGGATTGCTTGTGTGAGCCTGAAACTATCTAAGTACTTCTACAGCCAAATTCCATCAGTCTGATTCCCAGCCTTCTCTTCCTTTCCATGTTCCCCCCTGATAATGTGAATTATTGGGTACCTGTCGTGAAATTCGTAAAGTTCTCTAATATTTCCAAAGAGAACATCCTTGTTGTTCTGAAGAGCGTCCGGAATCAGATGCTTCAGCCAAGTATAATCCATTGGAGTGATGTATCCCTGCAGAGGGGCGAATGAGGCAGGTTTTACAGATAGAGCGTATGACAGGCGATCTGCATTCACTACTCAGAGGAATACAACTTTAACAAAACAATTGGGGAATATAGAACACATATCTCCCGAAAGCCATTTCATCAGATTCTTTGGGTATTATTTTCCTCATCGGTCCACCTTCAGAAGAAGATGGTTCATTGGGAATGATAATAAAAAGGCATTTTTATAAGAAGAACAAATATATTTTTTAAAACTTATCTATCATTTTTATGACCTAGTGCAATTACTATCATTTTATTATATTTCCTGCATGACTTTTAGAAGCTTATTTTATGTCGTTATAATCACCACACATAAATAAATTGCATTGTTTTGCCATATATATTTTAAAGGCTGCTTGTAAATTTCTATATATATGGTTTTTAATGTAATCTTATAAGCATTTTTCAGTGTTGCTACAAATGATTAAAAATAATTATTTAAACAGTTAAATAATATTTCACTATTATTTAACTGTTACAAAATAATTAGCATGTATGTTAGACTTGATTAACCATTCCTCCCCTTTTTAAATGGATATTTGGTTTTCTGATATTTTATGGTAAAAAAAATTATATTATAATTTTGTACACATAATTTACTCCTCAAGATTATTCCCTTCACTAGTAAGAAAAAATGTGCTACTTAAAACAATGAGAATTCTCTCTTATTAAATTATCAAAAACATGTCAATGGCCATATCCACTTGTTGGCAAGCTGGTTGAGCAGTACCAGGATCAGTATGAAGTGGCACAATCCTTTAGAAGGTATTTAGTTACATGGACCAATAGTCATAAGAATGTGCTTATTCCAGCTGGAAAAAACCCTTGCAATATTATAAGACCTAAAACCTTGGGGGGAATTCCAGAGACACATGGCAACTGTTTTGATTCTCTGTGAAACAAAATTTCTTCAGTTTAACATCCCCATCCCCAATCTACTTACATCAATTATGCTCTTCATTTCTTTTATATAAACCTTTTCAGTCTCAAGCAAGTCACGTATAAGGCACCTGAGTCACAGCAGCAGGCGGGAAGATGAAAAAGAGGGGAGGAACAATGTTTTAGGATTCTTTTAGAATAATGCTCGTCAATACTTCCTCTTAGTGGCTCACTTATACTTGGTCAATTCATCCTGTTGTCTGGACTACCCAAGGCCAACAGCTCACAAAACTCTGATCAGACTGTCGTTAGAGGAAATGACAAGGTTGGAGGATTCAAAACCCGTGTGTGCAGCTAGCGATTGACTTGTCCTTGGGTGGGCTACAGTGTGGGGGTCAAGAGGGCAGATGGTGGAGTAGGAAATGCCTGGTTTGGATCCTCGGTCAGGAGAGTTTGCCTGACCCCTATGTTATGCGTGTGGTTTCCCATATTTTATCTCTAGCTTTCTGCTGTTTCGTCGCTCACTTGGATCTTTCGCCCACACCCACGTGTTCTGTGCACCGGGTTAGACAGATGCCAGCTATGCCCCTTCTTCTGGCATTCCATGTTTCAGGGGGACTGATTTCCTCAGCCAAATGACTGGAGCTCCGTCACTTCCCTGGTGGGGAGTGAGGTAGGCAAAATTCCAAGATGATCTGCAAGATACCTGGCCCCTGTCCTAACCAGTTTGGCTCAGTGGATGGAGTGTCGGTCTGCAGACTCAAGGGTCCCAGGTTTGATTCCGGTCAAGGGCATGTACTTTGGTTGCAGGCACATACCCAGTAGGGAGTGTGCAGGAGAAATCTGATCGACGTTTCTCTCTCATTTATGTTTCTAGCTCTCTATCCCTCTTCCTTCCTCTCTGTAAAATAATAATAATAATTATATATATATATATATTTTAATTTTTTTTTTTTAAGATACCTGGCCCCTGCTGTTCAAAGACCTTCTCCCAGTCAGTCAATCAAACATGAATTTAGGTGCTGCTCAGATGTGATTTTGCCATTCTGTTTTGTTCCAAATCAGCTGACCTCATCCCATGAAATCTCTAGCCCTGGGTCTAGAAGTAGATATTGGGAGCATGAGGAGGTGACATAGGGGAGATTCTCCTTTGCTGGCTTTGGAGGGGACGTGTGGCCAGGAGCGGAGGCAGCCCCTAGGAGCTGGGCGTGGCCTCCAGCTGACGGACAGCGTGGAAACAGAGACTGAGTCCTGTGGTTGCAAGGAACTGAGTTGCAAATACAATGGCGTGAACCTAGAACACTGGGCAGAGTCAGCCAATGGCTTGATTTTCATCTGTGGGACCTGGGCAAAAAGCCGGTTATGTTGTGTCCCAGGGAATCTGTGAGCGGAGCAGCTAAGTTTCTGGCCATTTTTTATGCAGCAACAGAACACTGATGGAGTGAGGCTGGACTCCCACATCTGCCTCCAGACAGACAGTTTTCTCTCTCTCCTCACGCTGCGAGGCCATGCTTCCTTCCCAGGCTTTCTCTCAGGCCTCCACGTGAGTCAGTGTTCGTATAAGTGTTCATGAGTAGAGTATGCACTCTTATGGTTTCCCATGAACTGTTGGCGGACATCCATGAAACGGTAACCTAGCCTAGTGAATGGTTTCTTCTCCTTTCATAAAATGGACAAATAAAGAACACAATTTAGGAAATTCACACAAACATACAAATAGCTATTAGTCTTACGTAAAATAAAGAAGAAAGAAACACACACACACACACACACAAACGCTTAGTGCACATGAACCTAACAAAGCCATAGTAAAAAGAAATAATATTTTCCAACTACTAAAATGGTAGAAATTTCAAATCTCAAAGGAAGGCCAATAGTTGAGGGTGTGGAAACTCTCTCAGACGGTACTGGCGGGAGTGAACATCAGTGCACGATAAGTTAGAAATAGCTATCACATCGAAAACGCGAGCTCCGTGGCTCAGTAATTCCACTTTTAAGAATGTGTATTGTTTGTTATGAGAACAATAGCATAATAGCAACAACCAGATACTACGTGTGGGAAATTACTTCAATGCTTGTCATTCAATTATGGTACATACCTATGATGAAATGCATTGCAGTTTTTAAAAGAACGAAGTCAACTGAAAAATGCTGCTGATCTGACAATTGTTTTAAGTGAATTAAAAAAAACAAAAAACAAGATGCAGAAAAGTATGCATAGTGTGCAATTTGTATAAAAACGAGTGTACACACATACCTATATGTAAAAGTATATGTGCTTAGAACATTCATACAAAGAAACTTAAGTCACTGTCAATAGTGATTGCTTTGGGGAGTGGTACTGAAAGCTGAAAAACAGGAAAGGAGAATTCCTTCATTTTACTCTACACTTTTTATTTTATTTTATTTTATTTTTTGCAATAAATTAGATTTAAAAAAGTTTAAACATTTACCACTTTTATAATTGAAGGAATGGCTTGCCTGGCACTTTAAATGAGAGTAACTAGAGGTAATGATATGTAAACCCTATTTGAAGGATATATATAAGTCCTACAATTTACATATTTTAGAGCTCCACAGTTACTTTTAAAATGACAATCTTTGTGTCTATTTATAAAATCTTGTTATAAGACAAGACTGATGAAGGATAGTCACTGACAGAGGATACGATTTCAAGGAGAAAGACTACGCAGTAAGTTACTTGAAGATCCTACTTTGCAAACAGTCTCGGAGTCAGAAGTTTCTTCGATTTTTATAAATCATCCTGAAATGATTGTCAGAAGGAAACATAGGCCTTGATACTAATCTATTTCTATGAGCTGTGACATCAAGCAGAACCACGGCAACAGTGAAGCATTCATAGGAAACCGGAGTACAGCTGGCCTCTTATGCCCTCATGAAGCACTGGGCTTCAGCGACTTGGCAAGCCTGTGTTAGGATGAATCAGTGATTAAATGAAGTCCAAAGGTAGAAATAACTAGGTGGGGAGCAGAAATCCAAGCTATTGCCTGACAGTTATGTAAGAACTTAGAGACTCTTAGGAGTTTTTAAGAATTTGACACAAAAAAATATTCACAACTTGGAGAAAAAAAAAATCCCTCATCAGGTTATATCCCAGGTTATAGTTTGGAGAACAGTCCATTGATTGCATCCAGCTACTTCATTTTATTCTTTTCTTTTTCTCTTTATTTTATTTTATTTTTTTTATTTCATTTTATTTTTAACTTATTTTTATTTTTATTTTTAAAAATACATTTTATTGATTTTTTACAGAGAGGAAGGGAGAGGGATAGAGAGCTACAAACATTGATGAGAGAGAAACATTGACCAGCTGCCTCCTGCACACCCCCTACCGGGATGTGCCCGTAACAATGTACATACCCTTGACCGGAATCGAACCTGGGACCTTTCAGTCTACAGACTAACGCTCGCTCTATCCACTGAGCCGAACTGGTTAGGGCAGTTTTTATTATTGATTTCAGAGAAGAAAGGAGAGGGGAAAAGATAGAAACATCAATGATGAGAGAGAATTATTGATTGGCTGCCTCTGTACACCCCACACTGGGGATCAAGCCCACAACCTGGGCCTGTGCTCTGACCAGGAATTGAACTGTGATCTCCTAGTTCATAGGCCGATGCTCAACCACTGAGCCATGCTGGCTGGGTCACTACTTCTTTTTACTTGTGTGAGTGCAACGAATAAAACTCCAATGATTAAAAAGTCCCTTAAACACTGGCCACCTACATTTCAGTTCAAATTAAAAATAACAATAACCCTCGGTCACTGTTGGCCATTCTTTTTCCTTTCATCTCCTTTGTGTTCCTTTCAAATAAGGACAGAATGGGAGAAATTTTATGTTACTACCTGATGATTGCCTGCTTTATTATTCCAAAGCACATATCTTTGTTCATAGAAAAAGACTCTCAAGGATTTAACAACCAAAGTCACCACGTATGCATATAAAGATGAAGAACAGAAAACATTGGGAGTTCCCAAGTAACTTAAAACCTTTAAACATCTCTAGTAATCATGTCCTGATGGATATCTACCCAGAGGCGGGGCTGACCTGCCGGTTCAGCCGGCACTAATGCACTCTACACTCCTGCACATTCCAGCTCTTTGTTTTGCATTTAAAAGGGAACTTGTCCTTACCTCCCACCCTGGACATTAGGGAAGAAATGGAGGCATGATTGTTTGTTTTATACTACCTTCAAATATGCAACCATGTTACTCTCTCATCAATGTTTCTAAAAACAGAGCTTTGGCTTTCTGGTTCCATTCCACATGACACCTCATGTCTGTCTCAGATGATACTGTAATCAAAGGGCAAGAATGAAACCTTTTAAAATAATGAATGCAATCTTATTTGGTAAGCAAGATCATTAAAGTACGTAGATGTTCGGATTTCCTGGTAAGTTTCTCTTTGTCCATGCATCCTAATCTTTCCTCCTTTTTACTCTTACTCCTTATCCTCACTGCCTCTTACTCTCCAATAGAAGAGTATCCTTTTGGGAACCAGTTTGTCAGAAGTATATTTTTTACTCATTATTTGTAATCACAATTTGTCATCAATTTTCATTTATACCTAATACTAGAGGTCTGATGTACAAAATTCGTGCACAGGAGGGGGGTGGTCCCTCAGCCTGACCTGCACCCTCTCACAATCCAGGACCCCTCCAGGATTAGGCCTAAACTGGCAGTTGAACATCCCTCTCCCAATCTGGGACTGCTGGCTTCTAACCACCCATCTGCCTGCCTGATTGCCCCTAACCACTTGTCTACCTTCCTGATTGCCCCTAACCACTCTGCCTATCTGCCTAATCACCCCTAACTGCTCGCCTGCCTGTCTGATCACCCCTAACTGCTCGCCTGCCTGTCTGATCACCCCTAACTGCCTCTGCCTCGACCCTGGCCATCACAGCTTCACCCGGAAGGATGTCCAGAATGATGTCTGTAAGGTCGTTAGGCTGTCCAGTCTAATTAACATATTACACTTTTATTGTTATAGATGATTGATCACATTACACACATCAGCAAGTATTACAGATGTTCACGTTTTACCAAATTTGGAAGTTTTGTTCTTATCCTTCTCAAATTCTGACATAATGGAAGTTCACTTTCTTAAACCTT